CACTAATACATTAACCTTGACATCTTTCCATGACTGCCGTTGTACTCTTTCGATGTACTCAAGCTTATGGAATGTCACTTAATGTACCCTGTCTTGAATAAATTTCTTCAAAGAAAAATATTCAAAACTACCTTTTGTCCTAAAAATCATAGGACTTCACAAATTGGATGAATCATTCCTAACATTTATTTGGCTTCTAAATCCCTTAACCTATATAAGGTCATTTGTGTCATTTCAGCTACCAAGTATAATTCGTACGTCTGATAGTTTCATCCATTCCCAAAGAACCCACGAGTTCAATGGCTAAAATATCCAAACACTAGATGCCAAAATAATGTATGATACATTTATTTGAAGGACCTTTCTTCTTATTGGTTCTAGTCGATGTGCTATTTATTTCATCTACTGCACTGTGAGATATTTTGGCTCATTGAGTTCATAAATTGTCTACCCACATACCAAATGGATAAAACGTCACATTTTTACCCATACTCAATTTAGAAACTGAACACGAGTTCTTTCTAAAACTTGGCACGTAAAGACAATTACTCATAAATCAAAATTTTTATAAAAAACTCATTCTGAGAGATTTTGGTTCCTTTGAGTTTACAAACTGTCCAACTTTGTACCAAATGAATATAACATTTCGCTTTTTAAAACAGGAAATTTAACCTCCATATACAATTTAGAAACTGAACGTGAGTTCTTTCTAAGACTTGGCACATAAAGTCAATTACTCATTAACCAAAATTTCTATAGAGAACTCCTACTGCAATAGTCGCCACTTTCGTTGCAAAATCCATTCTAGATGGTAATATACCTATCACATGTCGATTGGTTTCCTGGAACCTCTTTACATAATTAGCGGTTACGTATCTATTCACCAGGTACTAATAGATAACACCATTAAAAATGTTTCGACTTTCTCGCAAATTAAGATTTTCCCTTCTTGTCTTAAGAATATGACAGTTCATCTTCCTATGTCCATTTTGCTTATACCGGATACACTTGCCTTTCGGCTTGTATTCCTTAGCAATAAGACACTATCCAAGTTCTATTTCTAATCATATTTGAAAAAGTAAATTATCTTTGAGAATTACGGACAACGGATTAAAAGACATTATGAATTCCTGGGATCATGCGAACATAGTCTTTACTTTTTTTTCCCAAAACGGCAGGAGCAACTATTATAAAACTCGAAAGCGAACAATGTTCGAATACAACCGGAAACCAAGAACAGCGAAACATGAGAGACACGTCACAGACGGTCTAGAGCCTCGACTAGGATACAATAATACTCAAACACCTACTACAGAAAAAGGAAAGAAAGTAACCATCACCACTGCTAAAAGCCTAGCAACAAGTTACAATCTCCTAGACAAAAACTAAGCAGACCACAAGGACACATAAAAACAGAAATAAGAACTAAAACAAAATAAAGAAACTAGACAGTAGCTGAGAATAGTAGCCAATCTGAGTGAGCCATTCTGACCAACACATGGTCTGGTATGAAGGTCTTTTGAAATATCCATAAGTTTCTGGACTTCCAAAGCCACCAAAGCATGTATGTGGAGAGTTGAATTCTTGCTTCGACCACTTCAGAGTGGTCCAGTGAGCAAACTTTATACCACCAATCATTGAAAGACATGTCCCTTCTGCTAAGATCATTCCACTGAACTGGACAGAGTTTCCAAACATTCACAACTCTTGGGCATGAGACAAATTGATGCTGCAGGGTTTCTTGTTCTTCACCACAGATTGGACAGGTTATATCAATGCTCATTCCCCTTTTCCAGATATTTGTAGCAACTGGAAGAGTGCCACTGAGGCATTTCCACATAAAAAAATTTAAGCTTAGGTGCAATTTTTAAGTGCCAGAACCTCATTTTAGCAGAAATTTTGAGATTAGAGGCTCTACTGCTTTCAGGAATATCAGCCTGCAGGAACTTTAGATGAGAAAGATTCTTATAAGTACTGGACACCGAGAAGACTCCTTTTTTATCCAAGCCCCAATAATATCTATCACTCCTGTCTGGATTCAGAGTGCCTATGTCTAGAATATCCTTGCTATCATCTTCCTCAAAAACCTGTTGGACAAGCCAGTCATTCCATTGTGAGCCATTGGACTGCAGCAACTCCCTAACCCAGATTAAATGACCCCTAGCAATAGGGATTAAGGTAAGGGAAGGCTTCTGCAGCTTTGGAACCCAATAATGATCATCAATTCTGGTTGACATCCCATTTCTAATCTCAATTCTGAACCATTTATCAAACAATGGCAAAATATCCATCCAACTATTCCACATCCAGGACCCACCTTGGATTTTTTTGCATTCACAATGGAAGAGTGGGGAAAGTACCTGTCTTTAAGAACTCTGCTCACTAGGAGGTCTGGGTTAGAGGCCACTCTCCACAATTGCTTGCAGATAAGAGCTTTGTTAAACAGTTGGAGATCATGGAAACCAAGGCCACCTGAGTGTTTTGGGAGTGTTAGAAAACTTCATTTTTTCCAAAAGATGCCCTGGCCTGCTTCAGAATTTGACTTCCACCAGAAATGGGCACAAAGTTTGGCTATATCTGCACATAGAGTGATTGGCAGCTTGAAACAAGACATAGAAAATATTGGCAGTGCCTGGATTACTACCTTCAAGAGTACTGCTTTACCAGCTGAACTGAGAAGCTTGCCCTGCCAACCAGAGAGTTTATTCCTGACAGCCTGGAGAAGATAGTCAAAGACTTCTCTCTTATTTTTTCCAATGCCTAGAGGAAGTCCAAGATACCTAGTGGACCTGTGGGTAACAATGCCATTTAGAGTAGAACAAATGGTGGATTGAAGATTCTGAGGAGTGTTCTTGCTAAAGAAAATTGCTGATTTGTTTAAATTGACTGCTTGGCCTGTGAAGAGCCTGTACTGTTCAAGGATACTCATTAGGATGGTAGCTTAATCATTTCCAGCCTTGCAGAAGAAGAGTGAATCATCTGCAAATAAGAGATGAGAGAGCATGGGGCCATTCCTAGAGATTTTCATCCCTTTGAGCAGTCCAATATTGACAGAGTTTAGAATTAAGGCAGATAATAGCTCAGCAACAATAATAAAGAGGTAAGGGGATAAGGGATCCCCTTGCCTAATGCCTCTGGTGGGGACACATAGCCACTGAGAGAACCATTGATTTTGAAAGAGAAAGTTGCAGATGAGACACATATCATGATCAGCTTCACAAAATCCATGTGGAAACCCATTTGCAACATGATTTTCTTTATCAAGTCCAATTTCAGAGCCATGAAAAAATTAGGGCCAGAGGTGTGCCTATTCAAAAAGTGGAAGGCTTCTTGGGCAATAATCACATTGTCTACAAGTTGTCTACCCTCTACAAATGCAGCTTGATAAGAACTAATGCAGTTTGTCAAGCAACTCTTTAATCTTAGAGCCAGAATCTTAGATATCATCTTGTAAACAACACAGCATAAACTTATTGGCCTGAACTGCCCTAAATTGTCAGGAGTTGGACATTTTCGAATTAGAGAGATGACTGTGTGATTCCAGTATTTGAGAATCTTACCTGAGTTGAAAAAGCTTGCAACTGCTGCTAAAATGTCTTGCTTGATAAGAGGCCAGAAGTGCTGGTAGAAGGCCGCTGTCATCCCATCTTCTCCTGGAGATTTATCAGGATTTAGACTGAAAAGAGAGTTCTTGACCTCCTCTTCTCCAACTGGTTTGAGCAAAGCTTGGTTCTTTTCAGAAGTTATAGAAGTAGGGATGAGAGGAAGAATGGATTCTCCACCCCAGCATCCTTCAGAGGAGAATAAGTTTGAGTAAAATTCTTCAATATGCTTCTCTATCTCCCTTTGAGTGGTGAAGATGTGGCCTTGGTGAGAGGTCAGCCTGATGATAGCATTGTATCTCCTCTTTTGCATTGTAAGAGTGTGAAAGAACCTGGTGTTGGCATCCCCATCCTTCAGCCACTTGGATTTGCCCTTTTGCTGCCAGTACAATTCTTCCTGCCTGTGAGCCTGGTTCAATGATCTTCTGGTTGACTCCCATTCCTCCCAATTAATGGCTGCTTTGTTCTGATTCAGAGTTTCAAGCTTTGCATTAAGAGTAGCAATGGTTTTCTGTCTCTCTGAGTGGAAGGAGGAACTCCATTTCAGCAGTGCTACTCTTGTAATCTTGACTTTCTCTTTGAGCTAGAAAAAGGGAGTGCCTTGTACTTCTGAAAGCCAAGCTTGCTTGACTACCTCTTCACAACCCTCCCTTGTCAACCATCGTTTGTCAAAATGGAAGCTAGTCTTTATCCTTTCTCTTGGTAGTCCCAAACTAAGAACCAGGGCAGAGTGGTCAGAGGCACTTCTGATCAGATTAGTGACTGTTGCATTTGGGTGCAGCTGGTTCCAGTCCAGAGAGCCAAAAGCTCTATTCAGTTTTTCTTCTACTAAGTCAGGGTGAGCTCTGTTGTTACTCTATGTAAAGGAGGGCCCTAGCATTTGAATCTCCTCCATAGCCATGTCTCTGACAAAGTTTGTGAACCCTGTGAATGAATTAGGAGTTCTGAGATTGCCCCCTTGCTTATCACCACTTGATAGAATGTCATTCCAGTCTCCTATGGCAAACCAGCTGTTCCCCCAGGAATGTTTATCATTGAGCAGGTCTTCCCATTGATCAATTCTGAGACTTTTAATGGGGTTAAGATAGACAAAAATTCCCCATTGAGGAGAAGAAGTGGACAACAAAAATTCAATAGCTATATAAAATTCCTTGCATATAATTTGCTTAATAATTACTTGGGAATTCCAGAACAAATCTAGTCCACCACTGCAGCCCAAAGGGTCCACTGTGATGAATCTATCTGCAAAACCCAGCTTATTACTAACTGTATTCACAAAGGCTTTTGATTTGTTTGTTTCTGAAAGGAAGAGAAAAGTTGGGTGATGAGTTCTTTGCAACTCTCTGATTTGGGAAATTGTAGAGGGCCCACCCAGCCCTCTACAATTCCACACCACAGCTAACATTGACCACTTGCGTGCCATTCAAGGCTGGCAACCCCCACCTTTTCAGAATCTTCTTGTGGTTTTTCTAGTACACCTTGCTTAAGAATTTTTGAGACTTTGGATGAAGATGGGAGCTCACATTCTGCAGAGGTTCTCTTCAGTCCTGAGACATTATCAATCACAATTGGTATAACAGGTTCCCTGAGCAATCTGCCTGACTTGTTCCTTAACCTCTTCCATGTTTTTGCAGGTCCAGTGGGTTTCTGCTCTATCTGAAGAATGATTGGGGAAGGCTCAGCGATTTCTAACTCCATCAATGTTGCTTTCCCTATATCTGCTGGACTAGGGTCAACCAACTCCACATCTGGGGTTGGAGTTTTGTTTTGAGAAGAGATAGATAATGCTGTAGATACCTTTACTGAAGAAGGAGAGGATTGAGGGTCCACTGATGCTTGCATTGAGTGAGAGGGATCAACTGTGAGGATAGGAATAATTTGGTTATTTTGTTCTGCCCGATTTGAGGATGCTCTTTGTTCTCTTCTTAGCTCAGAATCAGGTGTGGGGGATGGAGGAGAGGAGCTTCTGTTTCTTGATTGACTTCCTCCTAACCACTTCTGCCCTTCAGAGGCCTTCAGCCAATCACTGTATTGACCCTCTTTAAGAGCTTTGTTTTTAATATCTTGGATTCTTACCTGGCAAGTTCTGTCCAAATGCCCTATTTTGCCACAGTAGTGGCACAGGTTCATGAGCTTTTCATACTTAAAACCCACAGTCACCACATCTTCACCTAAACGGATATGTGCTAATCTTGGAATTGGTTCTTCCAGATTCAAGGTAACAAGGAGCCTAAGCATCTTACCTCCATGATTAGCATTGTTCATAATGACCACATTATTCACTTCCTTAAAAGTATAACTTATCTTCAATCCCACATCAGCGCTTACCCAGTTAAGAGGTAGATTTGTTATCTGTACCCATAAGCTAATCTCACTGAAGCTGGGATGTTTGCTGTTGAGATTGCGAGACCATTCTCTCAGGATTAGATACTGGTTTTCGAAACTCCAATTTGAACCACCCGCTACCCGGTTTTTATCTTCTTTGCTTTGGAAGATGAACTGAAAGTAGTTCGGGCTGAGTTCTTTCACCTCCATCTGCTGGTTCAGCCGCCATATTTGTGTCATTGCTCGTTTTACACCGAACCAACCCGCGATTCTGTCCCCTATCACTTTCCCAAATAAACTTCTTTGGCATTCATCGTCGCTCAATCGAATATCTTCCTTGGCAATATCTATTACGTTAATTTCCCTTTCGGACAAAGAGAAATCATTCAACCTAGATGATAGCTCATCATCAGGGTGAGTATGAAGTTGCCCGCCATAAGTGGAGCCCTAAAAATGGGAGAGGAAACGACTGGAAATAGTTCCTCTGCAACACTATCAACAACGACAGAATCTGTAATTCACGAAACCAGCTGACCACTTGAGAAATCTAGGCTAGAATCAAAGACTGAGATCGCTCCCAACGAGAGAATCTGAATATAAGTCAAGTGTTTTTGAATTTATCATCAAATATTGATCCCAAAAACAATATTAAAAAAAAATTCACCGACACCTCAACACACCGAATCCCCGCAGGCCACGGAGTGTGGACGACTACGGTTCAAGCCATTGCAAGAGGAGGTATTAATCCCATTAATTAACATACAGTTTAAACAGTACTTAATTAATAGTCGGTTCATCTTTTGGCCAGTGCACTGAGTCAATGTGTCCCTCGTTCTTTATCATTAAAAGGAACTTATCGAAATAAAAACAACCTTTTCCTTTGGGAATATCGTAATTATTTGCACTTTAAGTGTAACCCATTAATTGGTACTAAGTTTACTATTAAAATTATACGTCCACCTTTGGGTGACCCGTACGCTTTTGAAATAGCTCACTACTACCATCCCGAAGGAGATCTGTCTTTGTGAACTGTGAAATAAAACGTCTTTTGGGCTCGATTTAAGTCACTTCACTAACAAACCTATAATGGAGGCCTTGGATGTAATTTATTTCAACCCATTACGCATATAATATAATTTTTATTTTAAGGGATTTTCTAAACCATGCCTCTAACAATTTACCTTGCACATATTAAATCACATAAGAGCATGCATGATTAATAGGCAATAATAAACTAGGAACTATAATCCAACTATCATGGCCATTAATCAATCTCCAATATTACGGAGAAACAATATCCTGTCCATTGTTTAATGTGTTTTCCGTTTCAGGAATTGGAACACCCCTATCGCAGTGACTCCCACTCTTCATTCTGAACAAGTTGTCTCTGGGAAAGTCGCCATTCGATCATCACCATGGCATCCGTCTGCGTGTTTGTCACCTCGCCCCGTCGAGTTTGGTCCACATCCGCCAGATCAACAATGAATAATATAAAACAATAATAATTTATCCTATGACCAGTGCAGGAGTCGTAGATGAGTTTTCTATGAAAGTAGTAAACTATGTGGTGTCCCACCGCGCCAATAATTTATTACAAGCATTCACCAACACAAAAACTCCTCGACATGTCCGAGGCTTATAAAACGATATACATGAATTAAAACCACACATACTTATGGGCCATAATAGTCGGATTCAAGAATACCAGCAAACAACACTTACTTGCAATTCTAATCTATTATGCGCTGCGCCCGTACATAATTAATTCACATATATCACGCAAGTCCTAATTCGAATAGTGCACAAAGACGAATTAGCCTGGGCTCTGATACCAGATGTTGGGTTCTATTAGGAACGTTGACAATGTGCACATTCAAATCTATTGAATTATAAATCCTAACGTAGCGGAATCTATAGTTAGTATTAGGACTTGCGGTTTAAAATTTTCGCCGACTCAGAGACGTTTCTGTTTTCCGTTGATGGAGATCGTCTGTCTACCACAACCTAATCGGTTGAAGGGTTTGGCCTTTGTCGATTCTAGCCGAGTGTTGAATCACGAACGAATTGCCTCGGACCTTTGGTATGTGAACCGAACTCCTTGCACAGCTCGAAAACCCTCCTAGGCTAGAACCGGGCTAACTGGATGAAGTCAAACTGGGTAGGGTCGGGTCTGGGCCAGACCGGGTCAGGTCTATCACTGAACACGAGGGTTGGCTCGTTGGGCCAGGACAGCTCGGGCCCAGCGCTGGGCCACGGGTGTTGGACCTGCTGGGCCGCGGAGTGGTCGGGTCTGGGCCAGGTCGCACGCAGCGNGTGCCGGGCATGACCGCTGTCTGCGCGTGTCTCCGGGCACCTGGGAGGCACGGTGCGGCTTTGCACAGGCTGTGCAGTCTGGGACATGCCTGGCCACAGCCAGGGACGGCAGTGCACGGCTGGGCGCGGGCGGTGCTGAAGTGGCGCGTGCGAGTACGTGGGGTTGAGTTCCGGCGGCTGATGGCCGCGGACGGCGGCGGTGACTGGCCAGAATGTACAGATCTCCAAGGCTTGATAAATATCACCTTAAAGTCTTCTAATGGATTATCTAAACACCTACTTCGACTAATCTTGGTGGAGCGATTAATTGAAACTCTTTAACTCTGAAATATATGAAGAAAACGATTTTCCTCTTCCTTATAGGAACCTTAAAATCGAGCCTCTCATCTTCTACATAAGAGGTTGGGACATGGTGTATTTATATCCTCCATTAGGGATATTAAAGAGGTGTCAAATATTGGCTTATCCCATTAGACCAAGGAATCCTAATTCTACTCATATACTAATCCCAACTAGGCCATGATTCCTTCCTCCTAACATCACATTCTAGAAGACTCTCAAGTCTCCTAACCCTAGGTAATATTCTAGAAGGAATATTCCCCAAGACTTGGAATATTAAATATGGAATAAAATTAATTCCTAAAATCTTAATTAGAATTAAATAATAATATAGCCCACTAGAATATTATTATTGCTCCCCCATGTGGTTCCAATTTAATCAATTAAATCAAACCTCCAGTTGATTAATATTTATAAATCTGACTGACCGATTTACCTCCATATGTTTAAGATATAACGTCCGTTGATTAATTAAATTACTAACAAAATAATTAATCAACTTCTTTATTCATTTCCGAAAGGGTTAATTGCAGATAAAACCCTAACCTTTTGTTAAATTGCAAATAAAACTCTACTTTTTCAATTTGGAAAAAAAAAATACTAACTTTTCCTAAGTATTGCATATTTGTCTCCAAATGGTTTTCCGGCCAAAAAAGCTGACATGGCGAATCGAAAAAATGACGTGGCACCGGACTTGATTGCGTGGCACTCTTATTATAAAAATCAGCTCCACGTCATTAGCCACCTCATTGACACGTCACCTAATTGGACACATCAATCAACGCCACGTCAATAGCCCCATTTTATCCGCCCCATTTTCTTCATCCCAGCCCTAATCTTCTTTCCACAGGCCCTCACACACACACACACACACACACTCACACACAGAGTAAGTCACATAGGAAGTATATAAACATTGAAAAACTATCTGATAAATATGATGAATTTTCTGAAGCAATTATACAGTTACAAAAATGCAACACTTCTTCTGGGATCAATTCGAGCTGAAGAAATTAATTCGAAATTAAGAAACACCAAAAAATAAAATCAAATTAAGAAACACATACATGCTATAATCGAAATTAGGAAACACTAAACAATTAATTCGAAATTAAGAAACACTAAACAATTAATTCGAAATTAAGAAACATATAATACTCAAATGAAGTTATTAATTCGAAATTCGATTTCTTCCCCCATTTTCGCAGATGGGCGGAGAAGATGATAGCAGTAGGTAGGGTTTTCAGCTTGTAGACGTGATTTGCAGACAGAGATGAAGGAAGATTGGCAAAAAAAAAAAAAAATAAAAAAAAAAGTAATAAACAAAAAGGTACTGAAATCCCGTCAGCCTCGTCGTGTTCGTCCAATGAGGGTGGAGTGTTTTACGTTTCAATACCTTCGTTCTCCTCGTTGCGCTCGCAAAACGTCCGACCACTGGCGAGATATCTTGTTCGGCCTCGTTCGGTTACGAAGGATCAATTAGCTAGGGCAACAATTTGAGGGCTGCAAATGGGGAAGAAATTGATTGAAATCGATTTTAGGGCTGGCTGGAGTAGAAATCGAAAGGATGAAAAACGGGGGTTGAACGAAGGGAGAGAATTTTTTTTTTCTCTTCTCTGCGGGAGAAGAAAAGGGGATGAATTCGGGGCTGGGATGAAGAATGGGGCGGATAAAATGGGGTTATTGACGTGGCGTTGGTTGATGTGTCCAATTAGGTGACGTGTCATTGAGGTGGCTAATGACGTGGAGCTAATTTTTATAATAAGAGTGCCACACAATCAAGTCCGGTGCCACGTCATTTTTCCGGTTCGCCGTGTCAGCTTTTGTTGGCCGGAAAACCATTTGGAGACAAATATGCAATACTT